CCTCCTGCAGCCCCCCCCCCCCACGGCAAGCAGGAGTCTCGGGGAGCAGCTCCAAGGTAGAGGGCAGGAGCAGCACATGGCGGTGGGGGGAGGGACAGCTGAACTGCAGGCAGCTGCTGTACAGGGAACTTAGGGGAGCGGGAAGCTAATGGGGCTGCCAGACCATCCTGGTTCCAAGTCCCCACCAGCTAGTTGCAACAGGCTGCTCTTCTTGAAAGCAGTAGACAAAGCAGGCGGCTGCCAAACGACATTGGAAGGGAGCATTGCACAACTTGAAACGAGCATGTTCCCTAATTGATCAGCAACGTAACAACGAAACGACGTTAATCGGGACAACTTTAAGTGAGGAGTTACTGTACTGAGTTGACCAGAATCAAATGCAAGGGGTGGGTATAGGGTGTACCACACATCCAAAGTTACACAGAAAATCTCTTCCTTTACATAAAATTACGTAGTACATTGTACTTAATATACATTTGGGGGATTGGCTTGGTTACTTTGTAGGACCCAAATGGTGACTCTGATGATTGAATAATCCTTCTCGGTTGTTTTGTATTTTAGACAGTATTTTGCTTGCTTAAGTCTATTCAAATCTAGTATCGCATAATATATAAATGTAATAACTGGTAATATGTAACATTAACAAACTCTACGATCTTTGAACAGTAGGAAAACTGTGCACCAGTACCATTACTGTAGACATAGCCTAGTGATGATGTTCTTCAAAATTCTACCAAAATGATGTAAATCTTGTTTTCCTGACTATTTATTTATTTATTTATTTAGAATATTTAGGTTTTGTATGGCTTGGAACATAAAGTTTCAGCCTGGAAGCAAATATGTTTTTGCACGTTGTAATATAAGAAAACGAGTTTTTGCTGTTTTCAGTTACAAACATTGAGTGGATCAGTTACAAACATTGAGTGGATACACTTGCAGTGTAGATTTTACATTTAGTGCTCTTGTAATTTAAAAACCGCTTTGCTGTTAAAGTTGCCAAGTTGTGTCCTTAACATGGCTTTGACCATAAAGAAAACAAGAAAAATTAAGGCACTTGAAAAGAAAGTGAAATGTTTCCTGAATAACCATGAAAGAACAGTTTAAGGACTTTATTATTTCAGGGCCAAGTCTTGATCCACCTGTGGGTATGCAAGACTCAAAAAAGCAATGATAATGCCAAATTTCAGTTGTACAGCAGGGTCAGTGTATGAAGAAGCCATGCAAGGTGAACTTTGCAACCTTATCTGTCAGGCCCACAGAGTGGAGTCATTGTGGTCAAACCAGAAAGTGACATGGACAAAGTATTCAAAGCATAGATCCACCATCTTCAGTCCCCACTCCTCTTGGCCTTGCCAAGGAGTACTGGCTGTTCAAGAAATAAGTCCCTTTTTGCAGGATTGAAGGAGGATTCTTTTTTATATGCAGCTTCATATTTCACTTGTGCAAAGATGTTTTTCTCAGGCTTTGGGGCAAGAATCAAGATTTGGCCCCAAAGAGTGCCTGGTTAGACACATTTCCAAACCAAATATTTGTGAACTTTGCCCTCATTTTCCAGGACCTGTGTTCAAGGCTCAGTGTCTATAATGGGGGTGAGGGTCGGGGTGGGGCCGAGGGAATGATGACATCACAAACACTTAAAGCAGGGGATAGAGTCAACTCCCTGGTCTGATTGAGTTGTTTGTAATGCCATCATTTCTTTCATGAGCAACACAGAACCTTGACCTCAGCTCAGGACGTGGCAGGGAAAATCAAACAAAACCTTTCCACTTACTTTTCCAATAATGCTTGTGTGTTTTGTTTTTGAAATGACAAGCCTATAGAATTATAAATGAAAACACCTTCTAGGATAATTTTAAAACAGCTTCTTTTAAATCTTAAAATTCAAATAGATACAGGAAACAAAAGGAAGTAACAAGTTAAAAACGAAAGGAAATAAAATCGGGGAAGTAAGGTTTTACTGTCAGACTTTTGGTTGATGAGAATAAGTACACATCTTAGCGCCCACCACATCAAAGACATGATTCCCTGCTGACTGTGTGTTTGGGGGGCGGCCGCGGGGAGGGAAGGAATCCTCTCCCCACCTCACAGAGCAGACGAGGACCAGTCCCAGTGATGCTACTTAAAGGCTGCAGTAGCTATTCTGGCCATTGCGCCCCTATCCCGTTGTGTGGGGAGGACTTGAGGGTTGGTAGAAACTTCATGCTTCACCCCTCTTCAACTGGAAAGAACTGCTGTGCCAGAAGTCCCCAGAATGCTAGATTGTTCACGTGCAAGAGGCTCCCCACTCAACACAACCACAGCCGTTCCACTCTGTCATGAACCCTGTTTACCTGTGCTAGGGGAAAGAGGACTTGAGCCTTTGTGATAGAAGATCTTAGATACTGTTTGAATTATCTAGTAAAAAGCATCTCATTTCAACTCAAAAGTGCATTAGTTGCTGTTATACCAAAAATGTCATAAGGATATATATTTCTGTGCAGGAACTGTACAGTTTTCATATTCTATAGCTGAGTAACCAAAGGAGCCAATATAATCTTCCTATTCAAAATAAAAGAAATCCTGTAAACTACCGACATAGCAGGCTTTTTTTATTGTATGAGGATTTTATTATATGAATTATTTTTTATTTTGGGGGTAAAAAGAAATGGTCAATGAAACTGTATATTAACATAACAGTGAACCAGATTCTGGCCTGTACTTTAACCACAACAACTTTCCTCCCTAATTATGTGCCTAACTACTGTTTTGCATGTGCAAATACGGGGTTTTGTAGATATGTTGTTGCATGCAGATTTTTGTGGGTGCAACCCATTGTGCCCACATTTGAAAATGTATTCATTGTATTTTGATTAATTTTTTATATCTTATTTGTTCCCACCAATACTGGAATACTTTTTATGTCTATGGGTTTTTAAGGTTCTTTTTTCATTTACAAAAAAATTCTTTAGCGTTCTGTTGAACAGCAATTTGCAAACAAATTTTTAAAATATAAAATGTGCATTTTTTCTTTCCCTTATGTTACCACTTTCTATTCCTTAGAATATTTTCTCTTTCTGTGATTCCTTTACAGCTGCTGCACATAAAGTCTGATAATGATCAACATATATTTCAAAGACCCTCCACCTTTTTCTGGTGTAATAATGAGGATTCAACTCCTTGTTTAGATATCTCTTCCATTACACTTACTCCTATGAGCTCTCCTGACTCCAGACTATCATCTGGACTATTAACACCACCACCTTCAAAAAGTGGTCTTCCAAAGCCAGTCAGTGAATACAGCATCCCAAGACCTCGTGTAATCCTGTTGTGCTAAAAACTTTTTTTTTCTATTTTCCTATGTTCTCTGTTGTGTGTTGATTGTATTAAAATATACATTTTGTACAGTGGTTAAAGGACAGATCAGATGTATTGTAGGTTTTTTCTGGGTACTGTTAAAATATGGAGACTTTTGAGATGTTCTATAGTGCCTGCATCATATCCTTAAGATAATATCTTATTTTCCCAACTTTTTAACATTTCTTTTTCTTTACATTCTAATGGTTTACCTGTATGTGCTATATTTATTGGACTAGTTTGCTATTTTGGTAGAGTAATTATACTAATAATAGGTATTTACATTATTCAAGACAGTGTCCCAAAAGTCTGATTTGGAGGGCTTTAATTTTTTCAGTAGAAAGAGAACTTGGGTAAGTGAGAAAGTATTGATTAGCCAGAAGAGCAATCAGCCATTATATTTGTTTTACTATAGTTTATATGAACTCTGTGCAAAATGAAGGCTGCAAATTATTTTATTCTAAAATGATCTGTAACATGCATATTGACTGCCTTCTCATAACAATTTGTCAATACTCACAACCTTTTTTTCCATTTGCAAATGACATTTGGCTGTATTTGGCAAACATTATCATGGCTTTCTGCATGTGTTTACTGAATAAAAATGCTTCTCATATTCATCCAGATTTTAATAGTATACATTTATTTTTTGAATTAACCACTAATGATCAAATTTATTAATGGTATCAAAATACCCAATGAATATGACAAGAAATTGGAATATTGAACAGCAAAATATGAATGAAAAGCTTTTATCAAAAAGACTCATTTAAGACTGACCTTAAATATTGTTTACGTATCTATCTAGCTTCTTCAGAGCTATTTATAACCTTAAGTTCTCAGTTATAATCTGGCCACAATTCACACAAAGATCTTCCATGAACATCAGTGGGAAATCTGCATGTGAATCTAGGGTAGTTTATGGCTCATAAATACATGCAGGGCCGGATATCATGCTCCTGATGCAGACAAACCGCCTCTCCCGTCAGTAGGAGTTCTGTTTGCATGAGGAGTGTGAGATCTGCCCACTTTTTGATTACTGTTGTTTGTGTTACACAGCCTGCAAATTACACACAGAATTCCCATGACATTAATGGGAGTTCCGTGTGCAGATTAACAAGGGTCTATTGCACGTAAACAATATTCTCTCAAGAACCATTGGGCCATAGGCTGTCTCTGAAGTGCATGTGCTAACGCCTCTTGATGTCAACAAGAGTGTGTGCATGTGTGTGTGTGAAAAGTCCCATATAATTTAATCATTTTTTAAAAAAGAAGTTGAACTCTAATCTTACCACAAACATGCATGGGAATTATTTATTTTAAATAGAATGAAGTAAAAAAACAAGCCAAAATTTTTATATGTGGAACCCTTAAATTAGGCATGTCAATACATATAAATAAAAATGGCCCAATTCTTAGAGGGGCTGAGTATGTCCAGATCCCACAATACGTATATAAAATATAAATTCCAAATTCATGAGCTGGAAATTATGTGGCTTTGAGAAAATAATACCACAAAAGGTTATTGAATAAAGACTATATAGATGAATATACAGGAAATAAATACTTTATGACTCTCTCCAGCCCAAGCTTTATATATTATACAGATTATATCTATAGATCTGGACATAGATATAATTTTTCCAAGCAATACAGTCTGTGGAAGTCCAAGAGTCAACATATTCAAGAAATAGGTTAGCTTTTTGCAGAAAACAACACTTTAAAAAAACCTTGCCCACTGGGGAGTAGAGGAGCATCTCAGTGAGAGAGGAAGAAGTACTGAAAATGAGATTTCTGCCTCCAGTGAGTTCTTATCCAGAGCCTGTCTCTGCTCTATCTCCCCTTCTTCCCCACCACCTCCTGGAGTGATGCTGAATGAAAGAATGCTGTGGATGAGGGAAATATTTGTGTAGCCTCAAGAAGCAGAGAAGGCTGGTTCTGGCCTGTATATGGACTTTATGTTAAAATAATAATAGTAACCTAGTTATATGGGTAGAAGGTTTTATTTGATCCTGCACAGAGTGAATGTGCTGCTAAGGAACCGCATTCTGATCTCCAGCTCTGCCCTTCTTTTCTGGAATGGAACTGTCTGTGACTGCATCTCTGTGAAGGGACAGTTTGAGCTACATAGAAACTACTAAAGAAAGGAAAATACCTTTCCAACATTCCTATTACAGCTGCATGGCCCAAGAGGGCTGTGGAACGCCCATGAGCCAGCATCTGTAAAGGCTGCTTATCACACAGGTTGTAGCTTTGAGATAATCTGACTAAATCAGTCTGTCTTAATCCTGTGGTTACAACCTCTTTCGTGTCAGCATTTTGACCAAATTGTGAATTATTTTGCCAAGTTAATTAGGACATTTTTCATCTGGCATTATAGTATTTCTAGTTTCCAGAAGCTTATTTTCTATAATGTGAGTAAAACTGAACTTGCATATGTGTGTCCCATATCAGTGGTATATATTTTGCCTTAGTTTGGTTTGTCATTCTGAATTTTTAAGTTGTTTTTAGTGTCTGTTCTGTATTGACTTGATTGCGCTGTATTCTATGTCCTGGGAGCGATGGTAGAACTGCTGTATGAGCTGTGATTAATGTTTTTATTTTAATGTGACTTTGGAACCATGGTAACTTATTTGCTTATCCAGTATTTGTTGAAGTCTGCTAAAAAGTCCTGGGCTTTCATAATGAAATATTTTCTGCTCCCCATTCAAGGATACATTTTTTTTATTTTGGATTTTAATATTACATGTTGTCAGTGTGTTAGATGTCCAGGTTATTGCTTATCACAAAATACATTCCACGCATTGAGGACAGCAGCTCTCATAGGTTGTCAAATAAATACTCACGTTATATAAGGAGAAATTAGTAAAGAAAAAAGTATTGGAATTATATCTTTTAATTTCAGGCACTATTTCTGTACATTCAAATGTATAGCCTATTGCTGTTGCCCCGTTATCTTAAATGGGTCTTGGGAATAATACCTCTGTTCAAATTCTTATTAATTTAGAGTTATTTCTTTCCAGCTCTTTTAGGTCTAACTGTCATTTATTTCTGGCTATCTCAGATTTACTGAAAATGTGAAATTTACAATGCTAATCGGGTTTTAGCATGTCCCATAAACTCTTTGTTGTGAATGCCATTTGCTTGGTGTCAGGAGCTGGTTTTTGCATGCTGTTATTTTTGATACTGTAGCTCTTATCTGCATGCTGAAAAGTTCAGTATTGTGATTTTTCATGTGAAATATTACCCTAATATTTATTGTCCTTATTGTAGGCAGGCAGTGTGACACCTAAATCACCCTCCACTGACATCTTTGATATGGTTCCCTTTTCTCCCATATCCCCTCAGTCATCAACACCTACTCGCAATGGCACACAGCCTCCTCCAGTACCCAGTAGATCTGCAGAGATCAGTAAGTTTTGTAACAACTGACCTAATTTTTTCATATATTGTTTTTTTAATAAAGCATCTAAAATGGTTTACTGACATTTTCGTGACAAGCCATTTACTGTTTTTGTTAGTCACATGTCTGATAATGCCATTTCATTTTTATACCATCTGACCCAAATTCTTTGCAGTTCCTGCCAAGTTAAATAATGAATAAATTCATTGAATTGATTAAACTATCATATTCACAATTTGACGGTTGGGAATTAAAACTTCCTTACTTTTTATAGTATGTTGTTTTTTTAAGTTAACCTAGGAAGTATTTTGACTTCCAGTTACATTTTCTTTATTGCTGCTCGCAACATTAATATTTTTTGTACACCTCCATTTGGTGGGGAGGGGGCGGGGGAAGAGTGGTGATGGTATAGAAGGGAGAGTTGGATTCACAGCTGAATATTCAGAGTTTATTGGGGTAATAGTGTTCATGTAACTTTTCATGTCATCCATGAGAAACAAGGATAAAAGCTCAGAATCTCAGTATGAAAGTAGTGTGTTCTGCTTCCAGCATTTCACCATGATGGAGGAATATTACATTTTATTGCCTGGCATGGTCTAGAACAGGGGTGGACAACCTGTGGCTCCGGAGCCAGATGCAGCTCTTCAGAGGTTACTATGTGGCTCCTTGCATAGGCGCCAACTCCGGGGCTGGAGCTATAGGCGCCAATTTTCCAGTGGGCTACAGGGTGCTCACTGCTCAACCCCTGGCTCTGCCCCAGGCCCGGTCCCCACTCCACCCCTTCCTCCAAGACCCCTGCCCCTTCCCCTGAGTCTGCTGCACCCTTGCTCCTCCACTTCCCCCCCCCAAGCTTCCTGCACACCACAAAACAGCTGATCACGGTGGGCAGGAGGCACAGGGATGGAGGGTTAGGTGCTGATTGGTGGTGCTGCTGGCGGATGGGAGACACTA